CTTGTCACAACCCTCTGAGAGACTGACTCCTGCTGTGCCCATTTCACAGATGAAGCGACAGGCTCACTGAGATTAGGCAACTTGCTGAGGGTCACAACTGGTGATTGGGTTGGCTGGGATTTGACCTGAATCCTGAACTTGAACCACTCTACTGCTTCCCAAGGTATCAGTAGCATCAGTGGGCTTTTATAGTCAAAGAGCGCTTGGTGGTTAACAGAGTTTTATGTTTATTAATATCCATTATCTCTTTCCATCCTCACAGCACCCTCAAGCGAGGCAGGCAGATATGGTCACCCCCATTTTACAGACTGAGAAATAGGTTCATCGAGACATGATGGTGTGTGTGATGGCCACAGCCATGGTGGCCGAGCCGGGCCTGGGACCCAGCTCTCCCCACCTTAGATCTTCCTGTCGTCTCTGTTAGTTCACGGAAATCTGTAGTTGCTACGGAGGCGAGCAAAGGTCTAGTCCACTTCATCCTGTGATTCTCTCTCTTTGCTATTTAATTTCTCTCCCTGCAACTCATCCCTTACTTGACCCCATCTCGCCCTCTCCTCTCGCTGACTCCATTCCCGCCAGCTGGCCTCCCTGTTCTGCCTTTGCCTGGAATGGGATTTCCCCATATAGTGGCGTTGTTCTTCCTCCCTCGCCTTCTTCAGTTCTCCACGCAGATGTCAGCTCATCAGTGGACTCCCCCCCCCACCCCCGACCACCCCATAGAAAATAGCAGCCCCTGGCACTCTTGAACCTCTTCACTTAACTTATTTCTCCTTTTATTACTTATCACCACTGTCTATTTACTTTTTAAAAACGTGCCTTCTCCTCTAGAATGCAAGCTCCTTCAGGGCAGGCATTTGCTCCTTTTGTTCAGGTACTGTAATTCCCTCTTGGCATATACTTAATAAACACCCAAAAAAACAACCCCTGTATTCAGGAAGGATATGGTGAGGCGTGGTCATCCCCAAGCTGTATCCTGGAGTTCTTCCCACTCCAAGATGAGACCCAGGAAGTACTGTGGGGGGTAAATGCTGCTGATGTGTCCACACGTACCCGTGTGTTTCACGGGCATGACCACCTTCCTTCCCCCATCGCCCCCTCACAGCGATGCTTTATAAATGTATTAGTGGTTGAATGATGTCACCCGCATGCATTTTGGGAATAGCCATGTGGTTTATACACACTTGGGTTGCTTTGAATGCAAACCTGACATCATACCGAAGGCAGCAGTGAAACAGCATACGCACAGTAAACAGGCAGAGACTGTCTTATTGATTAACAGATGAGGCCTCTATTATCGATCAAAGCTTGGCGAGGAAATTTATCACTTTTAATTTCAGGGCTGCCAAATATTTCTGCCTCTGAGCCAGCCATTACAGAGACCATTTAAAGGCACACGCCTCCTTGTGGGGAGAGGGGTCTGCCTCTTGTTGCTGACTGGTGTGTCCTGGAGCTGCCCATCTTTGCTGCTGGGCTCGCCCTGGGGATGGGAGGAGTTGGGGTTGGGGTACGGGGTGTACTAGGGCTTCATGTACGGGAGCCGCTGTCTGCGGTGTCGGTGTGTGATGAAGGTTCTGACTTGGGCCGACTGAGGACAGGAGACTTTCACACACTCAGCTCAATTTTGCGACTTCAGTGAGGCAGGAGTAGATGGGGGAGGACTCCGAGGACTCCCAGATGTGGTCGGGCTTGGGCCAAGCCAGCAACCTTGACTAGATGGTGTGTGCTTATCTGTTTTATCTTCATCTGCACTTGTCTGATGGCACATATCCGGCCCTTTATTTCCTACCTGCCCTTCTTCCTTTCTCTCTGCTGCTCAGTCATTAAAGCAGACGCTGAGACAGCCACATCGATGACTGTTTTCTAAGAACCCTTCCTACCACATCCCTTTGAAGCTGTGTGCTGGGGCCTCCTCACCCCATTGCAGGGCTCCACGAGAAGGCGGGCCTCCGGGGTCCCCTCCCCTCTCCAGTCCTCGCTTCCCTCCTCGGGCCTCTTCCCTTTTCTTCTTTAGGGAGCCGTGAGAACTGATAGAATCAAAGAAAGAAATACCATTAAAATCAGATCCTTTACAGATCTGCGGAAAATCATTGCTGGCTAATGATTTGGGGCTGAGGGGAGTTTCTCTTGGTGAGGGGGCTGGGGCCTCATCCCCCCCAGTTTTCCTGCTCTGGCCCTTTCTGCTCTTTCAGGCACATGCTGCATTTCCAGTATAAAGGGATGAAAGGTGGTCCTGACTGCCACCTGTATGAACACACAGTGTGACTGCTTGTCCATCAGGTTTCTTGGTTTGCTTCAAAGCTCTCTATAAGCTACTTATAGGTCCTTGGCCCCTGGATGCCCTACATCTTGAAGGGACACCCAGAAAGGATCGTGGTTTTCTCCCTGCCTTTAGGGAGGGAGCCAGCCACATAAGACATCTCCAGCCACCTAAGACAAGTGACAATATTTGCTTTTAAAGCATGTAAGGAAAAGCGATTTCATATCTTTCCTGGAGCATTTTATGACTCACTTATTCAGTCAGTCAACTAATATTTATTGAGCACCTACTAGAAAGTATATCCTGTTTGTCATTAGGAAAATAGACAAGGTCAGCGTCTTCATAAGGCCTGACATTCTAGACCTACCTACCCTAGGATCCTAATACCCTTCACTGGCAAGAACTATTTATTGGAGATTAAGTCTATACTGGTGCGACTTGTGCTCTGAGTTCTTGTCCTTAAAGGTGTGCAAATACTCCAAGGTGGAGGTTTTAAGCTTTTTTAAAAAGTAGTGGAACCATTCCCACCCCCCCACCCCACCCCCATCCCCACTAACCTTCAAGTCAAGCCGTTGTTTCAAATAGAATTTTACATAAAACCTTGATGTATACAAGGGGTAAATTGGATTTTCACTTGTTTGATTTGGGGGAAGGAAGCCCAGAGCCCACCGTCTTATCCATGTAGCATCTTTGCAGATGAACCCTAGGGAGGCTGAAGGGTACCAGGATGAAGGGCAAAGGCTCTGATGTCAGGCTGCCTGGCGCGGCGTCCACCGCTGCTGTCACCCACTGTGTGACACTGGGCTAGCTACTTAACCCGCCTGAGCTTGAGTTTTCTCATCTGCTAAATGGGGGTAATAATAGTAGGTACTTTAAAAGATTGCCAGCATCAAATGAAAGGATATATCTTAAGTACTTCGCCTCCTGTGGTATATGATAAAGCCTCAGAAACTCGGAGACGGTTTGAAAACAGCACTAGGCTGTTTTCTACCATAATACGTGTAAGAAATAATTCTGCCTCTTACGAACTCGGATTCAAAACTAAACTACAGGCACACTGAAAGAAGTGCTAAGATGTGTTGAAAGGAACAAAGTTCAGCAGCAGGCTGGAACGGGCAGAGCAGGGAGGGCTGGAGTGCTTGGTGCATGCATACTCCAGCCTCGAAAATGAAATGGGACTGGAATAGACAGAGGAATGAGAGCGGGCATTGCTCAAACCAGAGACTCAGGGAAGGTCAGGCAGCACCCAGAGAGAGGGGCCAGTGAGAACAACTCCCTGTGGAGCTGGACCGCTAACTGGGCCAGGTTACGGAAGACCATGAAGCCAAGTAGAGGAATTTAGACACAGTGTGAGCCATTGTATCTTCTTGAGCAAGGAAGTGTGAGGAATCAAGTGGCCTTCAAGAAGCCTGCATCTATTGGGTAGATCAGAGGGCAACTAGTGTAGCAACCATCCTTGAGTCTTCTGGGCATGACCTACCAAGGGCCTGGATAGGGGCAGTGATTATCAACATGCCGTGGAAGCGATGCATCTAGAAGACATTTTGAAAGAAAACCACCAAGGCTTACAACAGTTCCCCCTGGATGAGATAATCACACATTAGAGCCTTGAAGACTATTAGCAAGTAGTAAGAAGTCCTGTTTATCTTGACACTGTGACATTGTCACTTTGAGCTTTGGAAATAATGGTTCTTAAAAAGTTTTTCAAATTAAATCGCACTGAATTGATTTAGTTTATTCCACAAATATGTACAGTAATAATTCCCACTGGGGGTCAGGCAGTTGTAGCTATGCATCAGATGACATAGTCCCTCCCTCAGGCTTACAGTGTGTCCGGAGATGAAGACAGGTCCTCGGGCATTTATAAGAGAGCGTGGGTGAGGCTATGAGCTGGAACTTACAGGGTTCTGTGGGAGCATAAAGAAGGACTACCTCCCCCAGACACGGGGCACGGGTAAAGAAGCTGATGCATAAATGATGAATAGGGGCTTGCTGTACTCTGGGGCCACGTAGTGGGGCAAGAATGTCAGAGCCAAAGGAGGTGCAAAAGAATGTGCAAAGACCTTGCAGTGAGAAAGAGCATGGCTTCTCCAGGGAACCAGAGCAGCTCAGTCGGGCTGGAGACTACAGAGCAAGAGTGAGGAATGAGACCAAACTAGAAAGATAAGTACATCAAGAAATGCTTTGTGAGTCATCATGAGGAGTTTGGACTTTATCCTGAAGGCACTGGGGAGTCATTCAGACTTTTTAATGGTCAGCTGCAGGAGGTGGCTGGGATAGACAGTGAGTTTAGTTTTGGACACACTGAATTAGGGGTTTATCCAAGTAGAGGTATGTCAGCAATTCCTCCTTTCCCATAAAGTATAATCTGGGCAACAGAGCACATTTCCTCTCACTGTATCATTTACTCCTTTCCTTCCCTCCCCTGGAGCCAGTCCCCCAAAGTCCCCTTCTTCTTGGGGCATCTCATCTGGAGTCCATCTCTGTTTGTCTTGATTATTCCAATTTTGTTTCCTCTTCTCTCTGGGAGGTCCTTAGATGGGGGTATTTGGAGTTCAGTTGGATGGGTGATCCCACCGTAGAGGTAGGGTTGGTCTGGCTGCTGGGGCGGTGGATTATTGCTGACTCTTCACACGTGTTCATCCCCCTCCCCCAGTGTCCACCTACATAATTTTGGCCCAGGACCCCACCTCCTAAGGAATATCACTCTTGATAATAAGTAACCGCCTCCCCTTTCTTTCAGCGGGTGCCAAAGCCTTTGTCTGTGATCAGTGCGGTGCCCAGTTTTCAAAGGAGGACGCCCTGGAGACACACAGGCAGACCCATACTGGTGAGTTGACTTTGATTTCCATTCTCCAGGCCCTCCACAGTGTGACCGTGCATGGGTATGAGGTATCTTGGTGGCCCCCTCTTTCAGCAAAATGATATCCAGTCATTTCCTGGAGCAGCTGTGAGTGGGGATGGCTGTGCCAGGCTCAGGTACTCTTGCTTGTGGGGCTGCCTGGGCAGGAATTTACTGGTGTGACTTTGCCCCTTAAGAACAGCTACCCTGGATTAGGCCAAGACCTCTGCTTCTAGTAGGCCACTGAGGTCCCGTCTTTATGGAGACCTCTAGTATGCTCTTGTCGAGACCTTAGAAAGTCTGCGATGTTGTCTAAGCATCCCCTTTCTTCTGAAGGGTTAGGAAACCTCTCGTACCCCATGTGACTAACTGAAACCCTCGTGTGGCCACACTGGGCCTGTCCTCCCTCTGCAAGAGTCGAGTCATTGTCTAAAAAGAAAGCAGTCTGTACTAAGGGTGCATTTAAACAATATCATTATAACAAGCAACAGTATCACTTTATTTGATTTAAAAGCATTGATTTCACAGCATCAACATCAGCTCATCATTGTAATCTGCGTCACTGTCGTCGTCCCATCGTCATCACTGTCATCGGCGTACCTTACATTTACTGCACACTTACGATGTGCCAGACACTGTTCTCAGTGCTTGCCTTGATCTCATTTGGCCAACCTTTCAGCAACTCTGTAAGGTGGGGGGCTACTCCTGTGTCATAGATGAGGAAACTGAGGCTTAGAGGAGGGAAAGTGACGTGCCAAAGTGAGTAGAGGGAATGGGAGTATACGGCTTAGGCTGCCTGGCTTTAACCCTGGCTCTGCCACTGACTATTTGCAGGACCATGGATAAGTTACTTAAACTGTCTTAGTTTGGGTTTCCTCCTCTGTTAGAAAAGTGAAGTAATAATAGTACCTACCTCACAGTATAGAGTTTTCATAGGTATTAGCTAAGATATTTTATTTGAAGTGCTTTGCAGAGTGTTAAGCTCATAGTAAGCATTCAATAAATAGTAGTAGATATATTTAATTTAATAAATATTTTTTGAGTTCCTACAATGTGTCCGGCATTGTTGGGGCATTTAAGGTAAGTAACATATGAGACGGACAGCATTCCTCATGGAACTGAGATTCTAATAGGGAGACAGTATAGGAAAATACATGTATAATATAGTTTCAGGTTATAATAAGTGGTAGTAAGAAAAAATTAAGCAGGATAAGGGGATAAAGAGTATTTTAGACCAGCAGGTAACATCTGAGCAAAGTCCTAAAGTGAGCGAGTGAGCCACACAAAGGTTTCAAATATTTGCAAATCATATATCTGATATGAGACTTAAAGTTACAAAACATAAAGTACTCTTATGACTCAATAATAAAAATACAGATAACCAAAATAAAAAATGGGTAAAGGAGCTGAATAGACATTTCTCCAAAAATGGACAAATAGTCAATGAGCACATGAAAAGATGCTTGACACCACTAGCCATCAGGGAAATGCAAATTAAATCTCAGTGAGATACCACTTCATACCCATTAGGATGTGGCTATAGTAAAAATACAGACAGTAAGACGTATTGGCAAGGATGGAGAAATCAGAACCCCCATACCCTGCTGGTGGGAATGTAAAATGGTGCAGCTGCTTTGGAAAATAGTCTGGCAATTTCTTAAAACGTTAAACAGAGTTGCCATATGACACAGCAATGCCATTCCTACGTATGTACCCAAGAGCGTTGAAAATGTACATCCACACAAAAACTTGCGTATGAGTTTTCATAGCAGCAATATTCATAATAGCCAAAAGGTAGAGATAACTCAATGTCCATCCACTGGTGCATGGATAAACAAAAGGTAGTTTCTCCATACAATGGACTATTATTTGGCTATAAAAAGGAATGAAGTACTGATAACATTCTACAACGTGGATGAACCTTAAAAACGTGATGCTCAGTGAAAGGAACTAGACACACAAGGCCATGATTTCATATATATGAAATCATATATGAGTTTTATTTATATGAAACATCCAGAATAGGCAAATCTATAGAGACAGAAAGTAAATTAGTAAGTTCCAAGGGCTGAGGGAGTTGGGGGAAAATGGGGGTGGTAGTTAATGGGTACGGGGTGGGGTCTTGTACTAAATGTTCTAAAATTGATTGTGGTGATGGTTACACAACTCTGAATGTATTAAAAAGCACTGAACTGTATACAACTCACCCTTAACAACATGGATCCGCTTATACGTGGTTTTTTTTTTTTTCAATAAACATCTGTACTATTTATGATCTATAGCCAGGAGTCTGTGGATGTGGAGGGCCAACTGTATGTGTTGTTCTACACCATTTTATATAGGGGACTTGAGCATCCATAGATTCTGGTATCTCTGGGGAGTCCTGGGACCGACCAATCCCCCATGGACAACTAAGTTTTGGAGGAGTCAGAAGTTATATGTGGATTTTCAATTGCATGGGAGGTCGGCACCCCTAATCCCCCCATGTTGATCAAGGATCAACTGTACTTCAAAAGCATGGCTTGTACATTGTATGGTATAGGCATTATATTTCAGTAAAGCTGCGCACGCGCACATGCATGCACACAAACATTTATAGAGAAGGGGAAAAAAATCCATTGGAGGATTTTGAATAGAATGACATGACTTGATTTATGTGTGTTTAAAAGATCACCCTGGCTCCTGTGTTGATAATTGACCACTGGAGTGTTTCAGTTATCAATTGCCGTACACAGAACCAATCGAACAGTAGATTAACGCAACAGTATGTTATTATCTCAGTTGTGTGGGTTGACTGTGTTCAGCTGGGCAGTTTTCACTTTGGGTCTCGCATGTGGTTGCTGTCAGGTAGTGTCTGGGGCTGGAGTCATCTGCAGACTGGACTGGGCTGGATGTCCAAGACGGCTTCCTTACTCACATTCTGACTCTCAGAGCTCCTCGTGGCCTCTCTCTGTAGCAGAGTAGCCAAGACTTCTCACATGACAGCTTGGGGCTCCCAAAGTCAGGAAGCAGAAACTGCCAGCCCGCTTAAAAGCGAGGCTAGAGGCATACAGCATCACTTCTGCCATTTTTTTTTTTAAGATTTTATTGGGGAATTGGGGGAGGGGAACAGCACTGGGGAATCGGGAAGGGGAACAGACAAGTTGCTGTCCTTTTGGTCTTCAGTCTAGTTGTGGAGGACATCGCTTCACTGGCCCATGTTGGTATTGTGATCATTGCGCTCTTCCCGGGTGAGGCAGTTGCTCGCCGGCCATTGGACGGCCGCTTACGGCAGCTCACGAAAGTACACGCCTGCTGCCGGCCAGCCCCATTGCAGGCTACACCATCGCCTCCTGGCAGCCCAGCTCCAGGTCGAGCTGTTGTTCACCATCTTAGCTGTAGAGGGTGCAGTGTCACTGGCCCTCATATGTGGGATTCGAACTGGGGCCCTGCTGCTCAGAGCTGGTGTCCCAAGCCAACTCCTACCCAACGCGCCACTCGGCCAGCCCACTTCTGCCATATTTTATTGATCAAAGCAGGCAAAGGTCAGCCCCAGATTCAAGGGATGGAAGACTAGACTCCCTTTCTCAAGGGGGAATGACAAACACATCAAGGGAAAGAGGAATTAATGGGAGCCATCTTTGGAGTCAAGCTCCTAAACTGCCATGGGGGACTGGAGTGAAGAAGGAAGACCAGTCAGCTGCTGCTATTGTAATTATTGTCATCAATATTTCCTTGTCCTGCCACCTCACAAAATCTGCCTCTTCTGTGTAGAAAACATACCTCCTAGAACTGGTGTGATGGGCTTTGGATTGGTGTGCCCCAGCCTGTGGCAGTGGGAGGAAAGCTTTCTAGGTGAGTTGTCATTGCAGTCAGCATCTCCCTGGTTCAGTTACAAAAAAACATGACTTGGCCAGAGGATTTTACTCAGGGTTCCAGGGTTGGTTTTCTTGACAGCTAGGGGAGAACCCAGGTCTCCCAGGGTCTCAGCCAGTTTCTTATTGCCAGGTCACATGTAACCAAGAATCCCACTCTGAGAATTCCAACCTAGGGGCTGGGGAGACTGTGGGCCAGCTTTGCCAAGCAGCTTAATTCTGTCCATCCAGATGAAACGTGCAGCAGCAGGGAGCAAGCTGCCCGCTCAGCCAGGGCCGGGGGAAGGGGCCGAGTCCCTGTGGGGTGAACAGAGGGCGATGTTGTTCACAAGCAGACCCCAAACAGTACCTTCTGGGTGCCTGGCACCCACGGAGAATATGGCAGTGATCAACATGGGCACACTCCCTGTCCTTTTTTCCCCAAACGGCTTTATTGAGGTATATATAATTCACATATCATACTGTTCACCTATTTAAAATGTACAATTCAACAGTTTTTGGTATATTGCTCTGTTAATTTTTAAATTGGTAAAATAATGAAAAATTTGCCACGTTAACCATTTTAAGTGTACAATTCGGTAGTGGTAATGACTTTCAGCCTGTTTTTAGAGTTTGAGTATTGATTCAACTTTGAAAGTCAGGAGGCGTCTTAGGACCGATGCCTTTCTAGGATTTATTAAGTTATTGGGAACTTCAGAGTGGTCAGTGCTTTCCAGAAAAGGTTATTTGTTTAAAATATGATTGGAAAGAGCATGGAGTTTGAATCAGAAGCCTGGGAACAGGGTTCTAACTCCACTACCTGGTAGGTGAGTAACTTGGACTTGTTACTTGTCCGTTCTGCCTTTCACATCTCCTCACCTGCAAAAGGAATGAAATGTCTATCCTTCCTACAGCATAGGTGGGGCCCAGAGCATTCAGCCTCACTTTTGCTCTATCCCCAGGTTGAGTACTTGGAGCTCTTGAAAGGCGAGAGGAATGGAAAAAATGAATTTAAACTAAGGATGAGAGACCAAGGTGGGTGCTTTGAGAGAGACTCCCTCCCCGCCTGCGTACGAGCTGTGGGCAAGCTCCCTCTACGTGAGGAGCATTTGGCCACTTCCTAGTGCAGGCAGGCTGGCTTCTGCCGAGCAGAGATGGAACAGCAGCCCTACCCTTAGTGCAGGGTTGGCAACGAGGTGGCTCTTCCTGACACGTGGCAGAGCTTGTTTATCACTTATAGTGCTATTTCCGGCAGAACCACATAGCACCTCAGACTTCTCTAACAATCAATGAAAGAACACAATTTGAAATCTAGTTGCCATCTCTGTTCTAGAAAAGGGGCCCCCACTCCTCCCCAGCAGGAAGGGAGAGGCTTAATTATAAGGCATGCTAAAAGTAACACTCAAGTTATTGGCCTGAGGAAAGCCAGCAGGGTGCCAGGGATCATTGGGGAGCCAACAGGAGAGCAGGGAGAGAGCTCAGAAAAGGAAGAGGCATGGAAACTCTGGGACAGCAAAGTCATGGTAATGCCACTTGATATTCCTGATACCTCAATTTGTAAAACATTTTCTTTCCTCTGTTACACCCACTTAACAGATGAAAATGGAGGTCTAGAAGCCACCCACTAGGAGGTGGAGAGCTGGAACTTGACCCAACCCCAACTTCAGTTCTCTTTCCCTACTCCCTAGCTGCCTGCACCTTGATTTACTGTTGTCCACAGGTCTGGGGTTAAATGATTTCGGGAGAGCTTGTCGGAGACTATTTAGTTCATGGCCCTGTCCTGGGCAGGCTTCATTTGGATCCCTGTGACCCATTTAATTAAAAATCCTCAACTTCCCGATGCCCATTGTCCCCTTCCCCAGATAGGATACAATTTCTCCAAAACAGATTGCGTCTGGGAGTTCCATGCCTAAGGCTGCCATATGGGGAAGTCACCGAGCTAACACGTAGCATCGCATCAGATGGGCAATGATGATGTCGTACATGTGTTCTTGACACTGAAAAATGAATTTAGTAGAAAGCATTTCCAGTTCCATTTTAGCCAAAAGAATGTCCTCTTCACACCTGACCCTTTTGACCCCACTTAACCTGGATTTCTGTCCTGGTGTGTGTGACTCCACTTTACCCTCCCTCCAAGATCTTGGTGGGCTCAACCTGGTGCTCTCAGAGTCCACACTTAGGGTTGGGCTGGGCTCAGGCTTTTTTGTCACACTTCAGTTTTCTGTTTTGGTACAGTGAAGACATTGAGGAGATAAACAGAAATCACTTTACACCTTTTATATTATGACAAATACATATTGCAAAACACTGCTGCTTCCAAAATGTTTGGGTTGCAGAGCAGTGAAGGATTAACAGCTACTCAGCTCCCTGAGATGCTTGTACTTCATTTACACATCAGAATTTTTTTACACTGTTCAGTAAAATAAAAAGTGAGAAAACACACATACACGCATATATACACGTACATGCACGCCCAGTGCACCAGTTGAGTTCTATATCAGGAAGATCTTAAATTAGTAAGTAGTTCTTTAAGTCCAGATAACCTGATAAATACCATTAATGGCTAATTTATACTCCAGGTTTGAAATTTGACACATGGACACTATCTTGGCTCAGGAAACACAAGTGGTTTTGTGCCAGAGGTTTTAATGACCGATCAGTAATATAAATTGCTGCATCACTGAACAGAAATAGCTTCTCCATGTCATTTGATCTGGAAACTTCTCTGGCCAGGCAGCAGTTAATAAATTTAAAAATAATTACCCTCTTTATTCAAAGTCAAACTAATTAGGAGTGGTTTTTACAAATCATAACGTTGTTCAAGCCACTATACATCCCCATTTAGGACTTGAATGGTCCTGGGGGCAACAGATGGGACTGGGTGGCGTTAATTAGAGGGCAGGGGAGATCCCTTGACTGCTGAGCTGAAGGCGAGGGGTTAGGTCAGTTTTCAGCATGCCCTTTGGGGAAGGGAGGAAGCCTTGTAGGTGGCCCGTAACTTCAGTGTTACTTTCAACTCTTTTAATCCAAACGTAAGGAGCTCAGAGCAGCTGCTTTCCCGTGATCTGAACATGGGGAGGTGGGCCAGTGCTGGTGTTTGTGGGCCATGCCAGAGACGATGAGATCCCAAGGAGCAAGAAAGGCAGGTGGGCACACGGCTCCTTGGGGAGGATGGACCTGCCAAAAGGCAGGGGAGTGGACAGGATGGTCTCCAGAGGGCTTTGCTCACTAGGCAAGTCTGGGCCCTAATAGGGTGGATCAGGTTTGTCTTGCAGGCTTCAGGGAAGAGGGGCCCATGGAATGTGAAGTCAGAAGTTCAGGGTTTTTGATGCATAGTGACACGCAGAACTTGGGATCTAGTATCTGTCTAGATTCAAATCCTAGCCCCATCACTTCCAAGTTTTATGACCTTAGGTTGCTTAATTTCTCTGAGCCTTGGTTTCCTTCATTGTAACGTGGGCAATGATAGAGTCTATCCCATAAAGGGTATTGTGAGGATTTAATTTGATAATCTGGGTAAAGGCCTTGCATAGAGGAAACTCTCAGTAAATGGTGGTGGTGGTTACTGTCATTGCATCATCATGATTTTCATCAGCAGCCTTGAAGGACACCCATTTCCACCCACTGGGTAAATGAGAAGGGAAGGGCCAGGTTGGTGGTAATGGTGGTGGAGGAATAGGAATGGTGTACTGCTACTTTGCCAAGGTGGAGATGGGATCTTCCAGGCTCCAACTTGTCCTCTGGCCAAGAGGCCATTTCCCATCTGCCCACAGAGCCAACAGCCACGGGCCCTCCAAGTGCACTTGGGAGAGGTGAGGATGAAATGAAATTCTTCTTATTCAAGACCCTGGAGCCTGGAATACCGAAAGCTGCTCAGAGGGACCACCCCTACCACTATCTAAACATGACACATAAACCTAAGTCAGAGAAGCTGCAGAGCTGGGGTCAGCACTAAGCAGTTGTCTACCCCCCAGGAACATCAGGAATGGGCCCTGCACTTCTTAGAGGAGGCCTCATTGGTTGTTACCTTTTATTTTTTTTAAGATTTCTTTTTTTATTGGGGTGTTGGGGAGGGGAACAGTGTTGGGGAAGGGGCACATTGTGTTTTTTCCAAGACCCATCAGCTCCAAGTCAAGTTGTTGTCCTTCAATCTTAGTTGTGGAGGGCGTAAGTTCAGCTCTAAGTCCAGTTGCCACTTTCAATCTAGTTGTGGCAGAGCGTAGTCCATCATCCCATGCTGGAGTCGAACTGGCAACCTTGTTGTACACTGAGCCATCTGGCCACCCGTCGGCAGCTTGCAGATGCTCAGCTCAAGATGCTGTGTTCAATCTTAGTTGCGGGGGTGGGGGTGGGGTGGAGGGGTGCAGCCCACTGTTCCATACTGGTGTTGAACCGGCAACCTTGCTGCTAAGCACGCGCTCTCGGCAACTCAGCTCCGGCGCAGCTCACTGGCCCATGTGGGAATTGGTGACCCTGTTGCACAGAGCTCGCGCTCTTAACCAACTGAGCCACTCGGCCAGCCCGGTTGTTACCTTTTAAGGCTTGGGAATCCTGAGTCTCCCTGCTAATATCCTGCTTCGTGTGTGTTACCATCAGGAACCTGGGTATTCCGGATCTCATGTCTTCTTCAAGTAAGACCTTCTATGCCATCCCACCTGTGCCCTCTAGAGATGGGGAAGAAATGAGGCGGGCATAAGATGGCTCAGGTCATTCCTGGGAGTTCTGGGGCTAAGAATCTTAAGGGAAGCCTTAGAGGCTCAGGACACTAGGTTGAACTAGATCTCCTGACTTGCCCCAAAGCAATTCACCTCTCTCCTCCAGCTCGTAACCGGCCCCATCAGGTCTGTAAGGTTGGTGACTGGGGTTTGCTGTAGATCAGAGTAGTCTATGCAGCTGGTTCATTCTGTCATCCCTTCATTCGCTATTCCCTCAATTTTAAAGTACCTACTATGTGCAGGGGGCTTTGTGGACGTGATACCTAATGGTGAACAAACCTTGGTCCCTGCCCTCCTGAAGGTTATAGTGTTGTGAAGGAAATCAACATGTAGGGAGAGCTCCCCTTTGGTATAGATCGTATAATAGCTGTATTTTAAGGGGGGTACTTGGAGTTACAATTTTATGAAGTTCTCACTACAGTCCTAAAACATATTTTCCCTACCAATCTTTGCTAGAGAAAATTAAGACCAGATAAGGTTAAGGAAGACCAACCAGCCCATGGTTGAGCTAGAACGTGGGCCTCGGGCTCCTATATCCCATAGCCCTGTCTTCCCGTCCACTGGGGGCCTGGGCGTCGAATCTAATGTGTAGACCAGGGGGTCAGTGCTGCCCGTCCAACAGCCTAGGAAACCATGACTCTGAAGGCCACATTTGAAAAAGGGGGTCACTTAAGAACAAACAAGCCAAACTAGAATTAGGACCCATGAGTTCTTACTTCTAGTCCAAGGCTCTCTCCACTCTGACTACAAAATAAGGACTTTCTTTTACTGGCCTAGAAAAAGTTGCTTCGTTTCCACATTCTTGTGCCACAGAGGAAGCCACTCAACCAGATGCAAATGTTGAGATGTTGGTTCTCATCCTCTTTGTGTTGGCTACAGGAGGGTCCTGTAGTCCAGATACAGCTAGCACATCTGGCAGCAAGGATAGCCGTGCAAGGGGATTTGCTCTCCCCTTCTAGCAGGGAGCAGGCACTGGAGTTAGCCCTGCCACAGGCCCTTATCCTTTCCAGTGTGACGGGGGCCAGGAGGCACTTTACTGCAGTATTGGAAGAAGGAAGCAGTCTCTCTGTCTCTGTTTCTGTCTCTCTGTCTCTCTGTCTCTCTCTCTCTCTCTCTGACCACTCCCTTGGAAGGTACAGAACTGTACCCCCCCACCTTGGTGTTGTCTGCTTACCCCCTCGCTCCTGCTGTATATGCTTGGGGAAAGCTTCAGGGACAGTCTCTGGCCCTGAACTTGAGAGCAGAAAATGAAGTCCTTGTCTAGGGGACCTCCTGTGGCGGGCGAGCATGGGAGGGGTTGCAGCAGGAGCAGGCAGGGAGGGGATTTAACCGGTGAGCAGTAGCATTCCTTCCCTCAGGGTGGCTTCCAACTTCGCTCCTCTTCTGCCCAAGGCCTGGCACAAGGGGCAGCCCTGGGCACTGAGGAACTGCGTCAGGGTGGCTGGCCCCTGTCCCACAGCAGTAGGAAAACCAGCAACTGGCCTGCCCCACCTCACAAGGGCAGCCTTCTGGTGCCCGGCCCCAGAGGAGCCAGGGAAAAGGAGAGGGGTTAGATGATGAGAAACCACTTTATCTAAAACTTGACATGGAAAAAAAAGGCAGAGCGAGCTTCGAACCCCTGCCCACGCTGGAGGGCACTGGGGAGGACAAGGTTATCACATGGACCCGTGGACTCCTTGCAGGTTGGCGTGACCTCCCCATTAAAAACATAATAGCATTTGACTTTTATAAATATCAGGGGTGATTTGTATAGCATTTCACACGGTGTGCCAAGGAATTGAACATGAGAAAGCTCAGGCTTGGGAGCGGCCTCAGGACGTCAGAGGCACTTCGGGGGGGAGAGTCATGTGCTGCTGTTAGTATAGTCCGTGCACCAGCACAGACTCACTCTTGACCTCATTTCATGCTGTTACTCTAAGGGCATGTTTGATGCCTAATATAGAGTTGTATTTTCCGCGCACAGGGCTCTCGGCTCTGTTGGAGCCGCTTGCTGTGGAGCAGGGAAGGACAGCCCAGCTGTCACCTGCTGGTCCAGACAAGCCATCCATCTCTGCTCTTCACCCTAGTGGCTCCCAGGCCCTTCTGGCCACCTTCTGGAGGAGGTTCCCAATGCTTTTCTTTTTTTAATTAATAAACTTTATTTTTTTTAGAGAAATTCTAGATTTACAGCAAAATTTAGCAGAAAGTACAGAGCTCCACATACTTTTCCCCCCACTCGCACAGCCTTCCCCACCGTCGACATCCCCACCAGGGTAGGACATCGTTATAACCGATGAACCTACACACTGACACTTCATTATCACCCAAAGTCCATAGTTTCCATTAGGGTTCAGTGCTGGTATTGGACATCCTATGGGTTTGGACAAATGTGGAATGACATGTGTGCAGCATTGTTGCATCCAGAATAGTTCCACTCTCCTAAAAATCCTTCGCGCTCTGCCCATTCATCACCGCAGTACTTTCTATGTGAAGCGTTGCTGCTTTGGGCAGTGCTTCGAGGGGACCGGTGACTATCTTGGGATTCAAGGAGGAAAATTGACCCGAGGCAGGTTTGGTTCGAAAAGATTGAAACTCATTCACACAGTAGATACCGAGCATCTGCTTTGTGCCAGACATTGATACTGGGCCCTGGGACACAGGTACAGCAGCCAGCAGGACTCACATGGTCCCCACCTGCACCATCCGCCCATCATAGCAGGAAGGACCGTGAAGGTTACTGTTGTGTGTGGAGCATGGCCTTTGAAAGCAATAAAGAATTAGGAGGAGAGAACTGAGTTCTTATCCTGGCTGTGTCACAAGCTTGCTTTATGACACGGGACAAATTGGTTTGTTTCTCTGCCTCTCAAATGTTGGATGTGGGAATTAGGCAAGAAAAAAAAATACTGTTTGGGGGGCTCTGTGGTTCCAAGCACAGCCTAAGATTCTGATTTTTGTGTTGATGGTCTACATTTTTCTCAGCCTCAGTTTTCACATTTGTAAACTATGCTCAGCAATATATGGTTGTCGAAAGGGCTGAATAAAATAATGCACGCGACATGCTTAGCCCAAGGACTGGAATGTAAGACACATGCCTTAAGTGGTGGCTTTTCACTGTTATTATTTTCAGATGTCTACAGTTTTTGGCCTTCCCCAGATGACAGGTATTTCTTCGCTTTATTTAGAAGCTTATTTAACAACAATTTAAGTGCACTCTGTGTCTGAAAAAGGGTTAAAGATGAAGATCTCTTCCTCTTAAAAACTATTCTAGAAATTTGAGGGGAATGATAGAATTTGATCTCTGAGGACTGTTGTTCAGAGCTTGGACTGCCTAGCCCTGCTGCTTGTTACGGATTATCTAATATAGCCATCACAATACCTCTAAGAGGCAGGTTCACTGCCTGTATCACTGACGAGGAATCGCAGGCTCATAGAGGCTTAATTAATGTCGCATTCAGCGGAAGGATTGGAATTCAAGTTCAGGGGCCCTGGTGGTGAGTCTGATGGGACTTTTGGGGCACCCATTGTCCTCCCTGTTCAGAGTTGCTCCTTTCCTGTCAGCATTGTCCTTCCACCAGAGTCCTGATTATCATCCTTAGCCCCTGCCTCCTGGGTTCCACTCACCTCCCTTAGCCCCCGTTCCCGGTCCCCCATGTATCTCCTTTCTACTCGACTCTCCAGCTCCCACCCTTCCTCTCCGGCTGCCCTCCCTTCTTCCTTGTGACACCACCTCTGCCCGATGAAAGAGAGGAGTTAATAAAAACCAATGTGTAACTGAAACTTGAAAAGCCATAAATCGCCTTGTTTTTTCTGGGATGTTGGTAGCATTTTGATTTAATAGTTGGACAAACACAAGGGCCTATTTTATTCAGAGTTTACAGGCCTCAAGGCTGTTATTCTTCCAAATTTAATAGCATTGAAATTGCAGGGTTTGCTATAATTTGCCTATCGCTTTCTGCTCCACCATTGATGTTTATTGTCAGCGGGATGGAATCTCAATCCGACTCACTTAGATAACATGTCTGTTAAACATTTAGATAATTGTACCATCATTAACTTGTCACATTATTTTAAAGATTCGAAACAGAAGCAGGGTAAGTAGAGGTACCAACAGCGGGTGGAGGTGATGGGAGGAGGAGGAGGAGGAGGAAGGGGGAAACCTCTCCTGAGTTAAACCACCAGCAGATGAGAGTTGATTCACGTTCTTGACGTTGCATCGGAGGTGTCTAAGAGGTGTGTGCTGCAGAGCTGTG